ACTGCAAACCTAAAACAGAATTACTCAACACAGACAGCACCAATCTTTAAATCTTGGAATGGACCCTGAAGTGGCAGTGCAAGGAAATGATTGCACAAGGGGTTACACCATATGTCTAAACACATCCAAATACAGGGTGAGGGCAAAGCGTGTTTTTTCTATTCCCCCCCCCCCCCTTTTTTTTTTTTTTTTAATCCTGCTCAACATTTTTGCTGCCAAATGTAGCTGGGTGATTGGGCACATAGCCTTATAAATGAGGTGGTATCAAAAAGTTTAAAGATGCGTTTTGTAAAACGCCAATAGATGGCAGCTCAAGCCTCCATGCACAGTCACAGGAGCATCATTCTTCATAAGTCAGTGTGCCAAAAGACATTGTACTGGGTGCATCGGGAGCTGTGCCACTGGTGCTATTCTGACCAACTGGGAGTGCTGTATTGCTGTGCAAGGAGACCAGTTTGAAGCGGATAGTGTGTAAACGTAAAGTACTTTGTTGTAAACAGGGCTAGTCTCGAAACTTTTAGATACCACTACGTACTGCTGCATACAAAACTATACAGATCAGCAGACAGCGTTTTTGATGCCATTGTCAATGAGCCCTTTTTTTATACAGTTTCTAACTATTGTAAAAACTTTATATATTTCACACCATTTACAAATCTTAAGTGTAAACAGATACATATGTACCACTGTTAGGTGTTTACAACTTTTTACCAACTTTCAAAGAGGTCTTCCCTAGATTTGGCCGATTGTGAGCTTTATTGGGCTAGTTTTACAATTCAGCAGGAAACCGTTTATACATGGCTTTTTAACTATAAAATAAATGGAAACCAGACCACTTGCTCTCTTGCTTCACTACCAAATTTGAGGGAGAAGCCAGTTATCACACATATGAACATGACTTAGGGTTTGTTCACACCATGGTGCAGAGAAGTCAATTTTTCTGCACCTGTTCTGCAAGGGCACAACAATATCAATTGTTCTCTATGTGCCCTGTTTACACCACAACACTAGTATCAAGTGCAATTTTTTTCTGCGCAGATATCTGCAGCGTGTACAAAACTCCTTGAAGCGTGCATGAAAACCAGTGTCTCTGAAAATGAAATCTGCATGTCAGTTTCCATAATTTTTTTGCACTTCTGGTGTGACTAAAGCCTTACAGCCAACCTCATGTACAAGTAACGAACAGTAAATAAAGCGAACATCACTACGCTGCATGAATCAAACATCAGTGACATTCTGATCACACTCAAAACTAGGATCAGCAGCCTGGAAAATTCCACTGTGAAGACAAAAAAAAAAAAAAAAAAGGCCAAGGCACATTATTGCTGTGATGCAGTGGCACGATGAACCGAACAACTGTCCCTTCTTACACAGGATCCAATGTGATATTTTTTCCAGGTCTGTTGCTGAGCAGCTATAAACAGACACACATTTGGAGAGAAGGGAAGAACCCTGTGTGACATTATGAGTCAAGAAAAAATTAAAGCAGTATTTGCATTGTTTGTTATAAAACTCGACAGATGTGTGGACCTGTCTGAACATGAAGCCACGCATCAGCTCTAGAAAAAAAAAAACCCCACACATACACACACTGAAGACTTCTTTGCCTATTTAGATGGACTGTCATACTGAATGTCATTATGACAGAGAACACACACACAAAGGAGGAGGGTAGGTAAGATCCATGGAGAATACATCTCCATCTCTAATCTATGGAACAGAAAATGCAGTACAGGTTGCCAACTGTACATACGGTAGTGATGTACACCTGATCCATTGTATACAAGAAGTATTAGGCCTCACGTACATGGCTGTACTGATCTCTGTACACCCACTTATGTACATTCTACGTTAGAATGACTGAATGTCGAGGTCATTCTACACCTGTGCTGCTGCCTTCGTATCATTGATATTTGTACATGGATTCTGAATTCACTAGGCAGTTGCATATAAAGTCTATGCATGCTCTATGTAAGCATTAGCACAAACATTTACATGCATACAACAGAAAACACTCAAAATTGGACCAAAATTTTCCAAATAGCTTTTGGTTTGCTTGCAGCTAAAACAGTGTGGAAAAATGAGCCCAAAGAATACAATAGCGCTGCTTTCACTGTCTGTATAAATTATGAACAAAAACGCATGTTATCTGCATGCCCATGTGCATGAGCCGTTAAATCTGTCAGACTAAATGATCATAATTTTAAAGTAGAATTCCAGCTTACATTTTACTTGAAATAGATCGCTTAGTGGGCCAAGTCGGATCAAATTGAAATTATTGCCATTTCATAACTATGGCCAGAACCTGTGTGAGCTGCATTGTACTGTAGTAGAATTGGCAACATGTGTAGTACAGGCGACTTGCCTTCTGCTGCTGGCATTAAAGAGAGTCAGGCTCAGTGCTCCCCCCCCTAATTCAAAAGCAGCCTTGTATTTTTTTCAGTGAAAACGACTGGGTGATGTCATAATTTTCATCTTAGCCAAATCAGAGGCAGCCTTGTGTTCATTGATAAAAATAAAAGGCGTCTCTTGAATGGCAGAGAAGCACTCAAGCCTAGGTTCACATCTAGGTCACTGTGCGGGCCGCAGTTTGAGTATGCACGGCATCCCATTAATTTGCCGTGTCTTGTGAAACGCAGGTAAGAAGTCCCTGCACTATTTTTGAAGTCGTAGCCCACATGGGAACAGCAAGTACAGAATTACAGGTGGATGCAGGAAGAGGTGTGGGTCCCGTAGTGGCATGAACAGGGGTGGACTGACAACTCATGGGGCCCGTGTCCTTGCCCAAACTCAAAACAGCCTGTGAAAAAGGTACCAGGAGCATCTCATGGGGCCCCCTACTGGCCCCTGGCCCTCGAGCAGTGCCTCAGTTTGCAAATGGTCAGTCCGCCCCTGGGCGTGAACCTAGCCCTTTACGCTCTATTTCATGTCTATGGAGACTTTTTAGTAATTCCAATATAAAAGTCTACATAAAACGTTCTTGGTGGGGGTTGTGGAGGAGACCTCTGCTTCCACTGACAGCAACAGAAAACAGCTCAGAAACATTAGGTCCAAACCATCATTCCAAACCGCTAGCTACCTAGTTAAAGGGATTAGTTCAACCTTGCTTTATGGAAATATTTGGAAATGGGCAATGATGGTGGAAACACACTCTACCTGCACCAAAAAAAAAAAAAAAAAAGAGGCCTGTGACAGAAATGCAATTTTAAGACTGCATCTCAGTATTACATAGCTGGCCACATTTCAAAAATGCACGTCATCTGACAGAACCAGAAGTGCACGTTGTACTACGCACTTAAATATGTCATTAAAATGGAACCAGTAAACTAGCAGGAATAGCACTATGATGGTAGAAAAACTTTATTTTTTTTCTATTATTTTAAAACAATCTACTCTAGTGCATCCAGAAGTCCTCCTAATGGGCCTGAACATCTCAGCCATTGACTGCATACACTACAGTGCTTAAAGCCAGAACAACCTATCAAAGATCCTGAGTATGGCCATGTGAGGGGTGGGAGTGCTCTGGATATGCAAATACTGACTATGAGAAGGTCATTTGTTACATAGGCACAACAAAAGAACCCTGGGCTGTGCTGGACTGACATCTAAACATGATAATGTACTGAAAAGTTCACAAATTAAGCTAAAATTGGACTGCTGAACAACTAAAATAAAAAAATAGCTGGAATTGCTATAAGACAGCCCTTCTACTGAACTGCGCTATTCCTAACAATTGCTTGTAGGAGAAACGTTACAATTACTCAATAATATGGTCTTCAGGATGGCCATATGCTGCACATGTATTATTGAGAAAAACAAGCAGCAAAATGGCAACACCTACCACGATCATCTTCCCAATTTGGATATTTATTTAGAATTTGCTGCCAACTCACAGCCCATCACAAAGCACAGTACACTTGTTGTGGTGCACTCCAGTGATTTGGGGTGCTATTCTACAGAACGTAAAACCCTTTATAGTTTGTTGATCGCCAACAGCCTCATTGCTCCCAAAGCTCCAATGACTTTCCTCCATTTTGGGCACACTGTGTACCTGTTACAGGAGCCTGTCCCCGCTCTGTGGAAACAATGCAAAAGCAAGGTGCTGCAACGTACCTCCCCCAACAACCATTATTCAGATGAAAAGTACATGCTGCAAATCCCTGGCTGCAGGCCACCCCGTCCCATTTTACCATTACAGGCTTCGTTACAGAGGAACTGTGCTACTTTAATACACACGTGTGAAGCCATCCTGTCACAAGCAATGCAGTCAGTGGTATCCTTTGCTTTCATCATACCACATACAGCAAGCATAAGGCTACAGCCACAAGGGGAATTTTTGGAAGCTCAACTATCCTATTACAAAAACTAGCAAATCACCTCTAAGCAGAAAATGGAACAAATGGCTATTTCTGGTGTAAGCTACACAATGTAGCAATAATCACACAAGAGTACATGCTACTTAAAGTAATATTAAAAGGCTTTTTTTTTATATAACAAACTATTTATACTTACCTGCTCTGTGCAGTGGTTTTGCACAGGGCAGCCTCAATCCCCCTCTTCTTGGGTCCCCCGTCAGTGCTCCTGGCCCCTCTCTCCTGCTCCCATAGCAAGCAGCTTGCTCTGGGGCACCCACGCAGGCTCAATTCTGAACCACTACTCTACATGTCCATTCACACACACAGCTGCGGCTTGGCCCCACCCCCTCTTTCTTCCCATTGGCTCACTGACTGACAGCAGCAGGGATCAATGGCTCCCGCTGCTCTCAGTCAATGAGGATAAAGAGTCCCCGGAGAGCCAAGGCTCTTGTGCAGATCGCTAGATCGTGATGGGGCTCAGGTAAGTAATGGGGGAGGGGAACACAAAGGCAAAAACACACAAACGTTAAAAAAAAAAAAAAAAAAAAAAAGTCTTTACAACCACTTTAAAGTGTTACTAAACCCACGACAGTAAAATCAGTCTGTATATGCAGTAACGCATGCTTGTTATACTCACTGTGGAACCTAAGGGGGTTAATCCTCTGCATTGTGTAAAAAGGATGTTTGATCCTGACTTTTATGATACTCCCCTTCTTCCAGTGCTCTCCTCTTATCTCCTGAGAAGACATATCGTATTGCTAGTTTGTTTGTTTTCTTCTTCTTGGGAGAGTGCATGTGATCAGCACAAGGCCAATCAGCCAATCTAGAGAGAGGTCAGGGGTTCTGCATCATCATAGACAAAATAAGCTTTAACCAGTGCTCTGCTGACCACTGATATAAGTCACAAGACTGCTAACTGCTGATGAGAACAAGGTATTTAGCAGTTTATTTACTAAAATAATTCCATGTTCTGTGTACTGTGGGAGACCAGATATAGTAAATGCAGGGTGCTTGGGTTAGTAACACAAAATATTTTACCCAGGGACCCATTTGTTCCATCAACAACAATGTAAATACTGCACCCACCCCCAAGTTTTTAAATGCAGTCATTTGATAACAATGCTCCAGCTCCTCTGTGTAAGGATGTGGCTGATGACAGTCAACTGTCTCCTCCTCCGACAATGATGATGTCACTGCTCTAAGTGATTCAGCCCAGTTGCTGGCCCACAGAGGTGCCAAAGCTTTGTGGCCATGTGATTGTTTAGAAAAAAGGAAAAAAAAAAAAAAGAGGCAGTATTTTAACCACTTCAAGTCCAGACACTTGTACCCCCCTTCCTGTCTAGTCCAATTTTCAGCTTTCAGTGCTATCACACTTTGACAATTGCATAGTCATGCAACACTGTAACCACATGAATTTTTTAGCATTTTTTTGAGAGAGATAAAACTTTATTTTGGCGGTGTTTATTCACCACTGGGATTTTTATTTTTTTGCTATATAAAATGAAAAAGTCCAAACATTTTGACAAAAAAAAAAAAAAAAAAGTGTTTTTCTTAAACATTTTGCAAATAAATAACCTTCATACATCTTGGCCAAAATGTATTCATCTATCTTTATAGTAAAAAATAAATAACCCAAATTAGTTTATAACCAAAAATTATACATTTTTCAAAACATTTTTTGACATTTTTATGGTTTTTTTTTTAACATACTGTCATCCTAGCAGTACAGTGTCACCATAGTGACACTGTACTACTTGTGGGGGGGTGATGACTTTTTTTTTGTACACTGATTGCATTTACAGCCTTTATGGGTGTAAAAGCAATCATTTCTCCTTCTCTCTGGCTGCATTCTTGCAGCCATTGAGAAATACCGTGCGAGCTGTGATTGGTCACAGCTTGTCACATGGTACAAAACAGTTGTAAATAGCCTTGTACCATGTGACCTCTTCGATCATTCACAGATTTCACACATAGTAAGCAAGTGACCTCTTGCTTACTACTATTCATGTGATCACTGATTGGCCAATCAGTGATCACATGATCGGGACCTCACACAGAGGTCCCATACAGTGATCGTTGGCACCAGATCGCGGTGCTGCGCGCTCCCAGGGAGCACGCACAGGTGGGGAATGGGGAGGACATTTATAAACGGCCACCCACTCCTGCAATGCTTCTGTCTGGATGTTTATACACATGGGCCGGATGGAAAGTGGTTAAAGAAGGATTTATTGCTTAGCCTTTCCTTCAACTTTAAGCCAATGTCACACCAGCGATTCTGTCACGGGGCGAAAAAAAAAAATCTATTTGTACTCTTGGTGTCTGAAATATTGCAGTTTCCCTTGCCGGGAAAGAAGAAACATGGCAGGAACAGGTGGTGGTTTGCTTGCCCACTCTGGCAAGGTCGTTGCCAGCAAGTCCTTAGAGCCATGGCCATCTAGTAGTTTATTTGCAGCAATAATTTGGTTTTTTTTTAATGGAATCTCTAACTCACTAATTTTACAACGGTTTGTAGCTCAGCAATTAGGATTGTGCAGCATTTCATGTCAGTGATAAGTCAGTGATAAGTTGGCTAACAGCAATCACTCTGAAATCAGCTCCACGACTTTGCTACAAACACTGAAGGAGAGCGATCTTCAGCAGCAAATGTCAACACAACGATGTGGCAGGAGCATAGCGTGACAAAACACCACCAATTACATCGCTAGCAATAATTTATAGCAGTGATTAATCGCTGCTACAAAATCGCCAGTCTGACACAGCCCCTAGCACTGACACAAAGTGGTTATTTGGAAATGTGACCACAGCGCAAATGTTATTTAGAATGATCATGCTTTAAGTGAGTGTGCGTGCGCTCTTTCAATCCAGGAGGCCCATTTATGCACTCTGCAGGCATACTTATCTTGAAAAGAATAATTACTAAAGCAATCAAATCGGAGTTACCGATGATGTGGCCAAAAGAAGAAATAATGTTTCCACATCAAGTGCTAAGCAGGTTAAGGTTTACAGGAAGCCTTAGGCTAGCCATACACAGTTTAAGATTTCTCTCGTTCAGCCCCTTGTGCTGAACAAGAGAAATCGATACATTCCCCCATCCTTGATAAACAGCATGGATTGAGAAACCTCCACGTCTCGCTATATGATTGGCTGCAGTCTGTACTCGGCTGATAATTTTCCACCCGGCTCCTTCAATTTTTCAAGCAACTTTTGTGCAACCAAGTGGTACTATAAGGACCACCCATGGCTCCAGTTTAAGCCGATGTCGCAGGAATCAGCAGAAATTTGAGAGGAGTATGGAAAGTTTTAAAGCAGTGTCAGATGGGCAATGTTGAAACAAATGGTACCTCACCCAAGTGAGGGAATCCCTTACTCTAAGAACCATGGCATACTAGTGATCTTGTCCCTTGCTTCGCGTGATTGGATTATCACTCTTGATAAACTGGACATAATCCCAACACCCTCTCTTAAAAATGTTCGGTGTGTGTAAAAACACCTCCACAAATGAGTCACCTCCTCCACTGGAAGTGAGACCCAGCCACACTCTTAGTATACCCCAGGCATGGAAGGACCTCCGTAACAGCAGCCTGGATCGGGAACACTGTAAACCCCCACCGCGACTGCCAACAAGTCCATCACAGGTAGCATAGCCAGTAATGTGCAGGGGTTCAGATATTCTAGCACCGCATCCATAAGCTGGAAGCCACGCCCTACTGCCAGACGTCAGGGAAGAGAGAAGGAAAACAATCTTGTGTAAGGTGCCAGAACTGACCACACAGGTAGCCTAGTTCACCTGAGAGAGGCAGGCAACCACAATTACCCAACTAACAAAACAAAAAGGTTACGATGTATCTTCTCGGAGGGTCAAAAACACAACTGAGATCAAAGGGGATGCAAGGTGCCTTTTAACGGTTTCTGTGATTGTGTTACCTGTAAAGAGGGGAGCCAATCATCTCTCATGTAGCTGTCCTGGAAGACACTTTGGGGGAAAAAAAGGGATGTGTGCACTTACCCAATTTTAATCCACTCCAGTCATGTGATCCCACAGCCCTGGCTTCCCTTTGTCAGGGAGTACCTGCTGCAGGGAAAAAGTGGGAGTGCCAACAATGGATGGGTCAAAGAAGCCTATGGGTGATGTCACGGCTCCCAAATTCCCAGCCTTTGTCAAGCGTCCCCTGAGCTAGAGGATCATGTGACCAGAGCAGAGCAGAAGAAAAAAAGAAAAAAAAAAAAGCATCCAGAGATTTTTTTTTTACGTTAGGCCGGGAAGGTAGGAGGAATGATTTTAAGACTACTGAGACCTAGGCTTTTCTTACATTTTAAAGGGAAAAATATATATATATATATATATATATATATATATATATATATATATATATATATATAATGCACACTTTTACACCACAGCCTGTGAAGCATTGTCCCACAATCAGTGGATTATAGGTGCAATGTCATGCTCCTGCAGAATCTGAGTACAGCTGTCTGCCAGTACCTCTCATAAACGTTACTGAAATGCAGGAAGAATCAATGAACTACAAAAGTGCTCACCAATGCCAATTCCTAGATTGTAAGCTCGAAAGAGTAGGGCCCTATAACCCCTCGTGTGCTGTTTGTAGTTGCTGTAATGTTTCATGTATTGTCCCCCCCCTCTATTGTACAGCGCTGAGCAAACCCTTTGGCGCTATATAAACTCAATGTAATGTAATGTAATGCCCTTACAGTTTGAAACTACAAGCCATCTGCTGCGGTGGCAGACAGGACTTGTAGCTCATTCATTCAGATATCTGTAAATGAATGATGCTGCTGTGTGGGTGAAGTCCCATACAGATGCACTATTTTTAAAATGTGTCAGTGGGTGCGGGGCAAGAAACCCCAGGGGAAGGGTGATGTGTAGGGATTAGAGCACAGTAACATGTATACAGATTTAACATGTTACACAAAGTGAACCTATCCTTTAAAATTGTGTGGATAATCCTCACCTTTTTTTTTCAGCTGTCGCTCCGCTAGGGGCTGGTTGGGTGAAAGGTTTCATACGCTTGCTGACAAACACTTGCTAAGGAGTAATGCCTCTCTCATCTAGCCAGTTAAGAAACAAAATATGGTGGGGGACACAGTCCTCCTGTCAGAACACAATAGCTTGGAGGGGGGATTGCTGCACTAACCTAAGATGTGTTAGTACAGAGAACTGTACGGTTTTTTTTTTTTTAGTTCGTCCTGCTGCATTGAATGGAGAGAAAAAAAAAAAAAAAAATTTCCTGTGTGTACCTGTTGTGGCCCTTTTTACAGATCAGTACGGCCTTACATTTACCCCCACGTGATGCACAGGTGTTCTATGAATTCCAGTGCAATCCTATTCATGTCTAATGGGATGCAGTGGCTACATGGACACAGCTGCTGGTCCCAATTTGACAGGCACATGGGTGTGTGTATGCCCTCGAACGCACACACCATCTGCATTCGTGGACACACAAAAGCTGAATCTGTGCAGCCACTGAGTACCAACAGAGTGAATGGGACTGCCTCCATGCTAACGTATAGAACACATCCTATGTGGGCAAAGACAGCCGTTCACAAACGTTTATAGATGGTTACGCCCATGTGAACGAGACCTTAAAGCTAAGCTTTAAATCCTGTAAACTCGATCTCTAACCCAAACTGCCACTTTTTTTTTAAACCCAATGAGCGGTGGGACCCTCACACAAGTATATGGAAATAGGTATGCCAGGTGCCACTGAGGTTTAGTTGTGATGACAATGTTACACAAGTCATTAGATGGACATTTTGGGGCATCACAAGCACCCTTTCTTTAAAGAAAAAACAATATCCATCTGTCACCTTGAAGAAGGGACCCTTTGAGGCTCTGAAACAAAGACATCTTCCGACTTATGAGAGCTGTTTCTAAAACAAGGGCTCATGCACACAGAGGCATGTGGGCACACAAAGAATTCATGGTATTACCACATTGTGAAGTCACTAGAGTCA